CAGCAGGGCCACTCCCCCTTCAGAGGAGAGAACAATCTATTCCTTGCCTCTTTCAGTTTGGGGTGCCTGCTGGCATTCCATGGCCCTGTTACTCTCTCTTCATGTGACCTTCCCTTCAGTGTGTCTAATTTCCCTCTGCCTTTCTCCTATAAGAATACATGAATTGGCATTTAGAGCCCACCTGGACAATCCAGGGTAATCTCATCCTGAGATTCTTAATCCTTTTATTTCTCGTATTCCAGTTTTCGAATTCCACAAACAATGGAACATAATAACAATCTTTCCCTTTAAATTCTTGGTCCTTGAATTTTTGTAGGTAACATATATGAATTTCATGCAAAAAATAAAAAATGACAATTGGCATAAATAGGTTAATTCTATCTGCAAAAATTTTGCCCTAAACGTAACAGTCATGGGATCCAAGAATTAGGATTTGATTATCTTTCAGGGTCACTATTGAGCCTACTACAGAAAAATAAACAATAAGTGTTAATCTCTTTTTTTGTTGTGTGGACAGGGGAACAATCTTTGCAATATTCTTTTCCCACATCTTACTGATTCCACAGGAAGGTAAACTTTGAAACTTTTGTTTGATGAGTTTCCCAATAAGGAATAATTTAGCAGTTTGTTTTCTTATCTTTAGGTGGGAACTTTGGTCTTTTTGTAAGAACTTTATTAAAATACAAATTTTGCATGTATTTTTCAAGTATAGTATGTGCGTTCTTAGACATAATATTCTGGTTGCCTGAGTGTACATGTTAATTAATTTATGTTATAAAAACTCCTTTATTAAGTTCTCAGCACAAGATAAACTTTTAAAATCAGAACTTACATTTTGCTGGGGATTTAGCTCAGTGGCACAGTGCCTGCCTGGCAAGTGTGAGGTCATGAGTTCGATTCCCGGTACCGGAAAAAAAAAAAACAAAAACAAAAAAAGAATTTACATTTTATCTTTTATATCTATATACAAGTTAATCTTCACTTTTTTCAGTGTAAATATGAGATACTGTTCATGTGAGACAGTTCACAAAATTAAGACACAAATTGTTTTGTTTCCCATCTTTCCTCCCATGATGTGTTTTTCTTTTAGCACTGTTCTATTTACTCAGTACTTAAAAAGGATGTTTATACTGATTTAATATTTGAAATGCTGCACAACTAGATTTTCTTAATTACAAGCATTACAATAGCTTGAGTTTAATTTTGAGTTTATTATACTTTATTTGACTTAACCCCATTCAATTAGAGTAATAATTATTGTGATTTTAAGTGTTGTTTACTAAGTAAATATATGAACTCATCTAGAAAGTAGTTTCTCAATGTAAATTTAATTAAATTCCCTAAGGGCATTTGTGCTATTACTTTAACATTTAACTAAATAGTCTTTTTCTAATGGAAAGAACATAAAGCGTCAGACAAAAATATATGTTAGTAGAATGATGTGCCGATAATATTTAAATTATTTTATTGAAATCATTCTTCTTATTAATGATAGTATTTGTTTTTCTTCTGTCCGTTTTTAACTTCTTTGATCTCTTCATATGATTGTTGGGTTTTTCTCTTGACCATTATTTTCAGTCTTATCTGCATATTGTTGTTTTTGTTTTTCTCTACACAACTTCTAAATGTTGACCTTCCTGGTGGTCCCTTTTTTGTTTGAGATGTCTTCCGGGCTTGAGCTCTGGGGCTCAAGTGACGCTAGTGCCTCAGCCTCCCGAGTAACTAGGAATACAAGTGCACACTATGCCCAACAGATGGCTGATTCTTGATCTCTTTTTCTAACTCAGTACTCTCATATTAGATGGTATCTTTCAATTCTGTGATTTTATACTACTACCCATATTTCCACAACTTCCAATTTTATATTTCATCTCAGACTTCACTTCTAAGATACAGACTTATTTAATGTCCACTTAACAGCTCCTCTTGAGTCTTTCAGATATAGCTGAACCGTTGATTGTATCTTTGCTTTGAAAAACAAAACTCCATCAGCAGCAGCAACACCAAAAACCTAGTTCCACTCCTACTCATTGGATAGCAGCATCATTAACGAGCCTCAGCCAGAACCCTGGTGCCATCCTTGAGTCCTAGTGTTTGTTTGTCCCACATAGCATGTCCCTTGTCATTCCCTCTTAACTAATGATTCCAAAATGTACTTCAAATTCTACCTATTTTTTAAAAACCTCTATTTTTGAAACCTTAATTCAAGCTATTATCATCTATCTCTAGGAGCACTGTACATGAGTACTTAATACTAGACATTACGCAGAATAACAAACTGCACATAAATTTGTTCTTAGGATTTCAAATTAATTGCAAGCAGTGATCTTTCAACTTCCAAGATTTTGAAATTATAAGAATAAGAAGTAAACCCTAAATGTTTAAGAAAAATCCTAAACTAAAAATAATAGCTTCATTTTCCTCATCAGTGGTCTGTATGATCCATGAGCATCCAGAGGAGATAAGCCAGAATATGGAGAAACTTCATGTCAAGTTCAGATTGCAATTTCTAGCAACTCTTATCATTTTATTAAGTTATTCAAACCCTGTGGTGGGAGGAAGAAGAATCCAACTGAATTTTCATATTATATAATACTTGTTAATACTTTCTTTTGCTAATTATAACATTTTATATTAGATGAGAATGACAATCAGCTTTCTGCACCTTCCCCTTTATCCAAATATATTAATACATGTACATGATATAAACCCACGTTTATTAATATTCTGAAGATAGAATTTACTGTGTTGCTAAGTCAGTAGATCTCATGCCTCAGAGTGAGGAAGTTGAGCATTATTGAGGTAATTGGAGGAGGTAGTTGTTCTTATGAGAGTGGACCAAATGGTAAGTGAGGTACAGTGGGCTAAGCTGGACTGTAGATATTTTTCCTGACTGAGGTACATCGTATTCTTATGTTTTAAAACAAGTAAGTATAATAAGCTAATGGAAACAAAATATATTTCTATGAAGAGGTAACTAATTTGGTATTATTCAGGCAATGGTGCTCAACAGGAATGGAAGGGTTGCACCTTAGGAGACATTCTTTTGGTGGGACTAGAGGATGTTAAGGTATTCAGTGGGTAAATACCAGGGGTGCTGCTAAAGATCTTACAGTGCCCATAGCTGTAATCCATCCTTACAGTTTCATACTGCTGAGGGTGAGGCATTTTTTAAACCTGTGTGCTGTCCTAAAATTTTTCAATTTTCACAAAGAAACCTTTAATAGAGTAGTAATGGTTATAATAGTCCCATCCCATGATTTTATTTTTGTTAAAACTTAAATGAATGGAATTATATTTGTGTGTGCTTGAGATCATTTAGGAGAGGAAGGAATCAAGAATGAATGCCAGGTTTCTGACCTGAACATCTCCCCAAGGGAATGTTGGTGACTTTTGCGGAGACAAAAAAAAAAAAAAAATAGGTGTGCAGAAAAAGATCTTCAGTTCAAAATTTACACTTGTAGAACTTGCCTGAGGGAAATCAAGAGGAAATCCTGAGCTGAGCATGTCTGTAATCCCAGCATTGATGCTGTAGAAGGAAAAATGCAAGTGTCTTGGGTACTTTCCTCTCAATGCTAAGACAAAATACCCGATGCCCAGAATTAAGGAAGGAAAGGTTTATTTAACTTACAGTCTGTGGAGGTTTCAGTCTATAATCAGCTGGCTCCAGGGCACGGTGGCAGGGCACAGGGGCAGCACTTCAAGGTGGCACAAGACAGCAAAAGCAGCAAGAGTAAAATGAGGGGGAGAACAAGCCTCTTTCCCTCCCTTGTGTTGTAAGCAGGCTGCCCCCACCCAAGGGGCATGCAGCGCTCACATCATCTCCATGCCGTCCTCCTGCACAGGCTCAGGATGATATAAAGTAAGGACTCAGGCCCTGCTCAGTCACTCAGTTAACCTTCAAACTTCTCACATTGATGCAGTGAACAGCATCCCAGAGCGGTAAGGGCATGTCCTTTTCACCCCAGAATGTAGAACTGCTGAGCCACTTAGCCAAGCCTTTAGACTTCTCGAGTTGACTGAGTGTATTAACCATAACAGCAAGGTTGATGTCAGCCTGGACTACATAGTGAAACCTTGTCTCAAATAGACAAACAAAAAAGAGGAAGTCTTGAAGATCAGAAAATAGGTATTTAGACATTCTTAAGTTGTAATTTGTCAGTATATAAATACAATTTGGCTCTAGGATTGGATGAAATAACCCAGTCTGTTGTGTATTTGAAGAAGGAGAGAGTACTTTATGTCATGGCACTTGAGAACTCTAGCATTATGGTATAGGTACAGCAATATCTGCCAATAGAAACTAAGAAGTAGCCAGAGAGATAATTTGAAGAAATCCAAAAAGCATAGTCTTCTAATCCAAATGGGGAGAATGTTTCCAGATGAACTGAGTGATTGTTAATATGTTAGTAGCTTTGGTGGTTGTGGGAGTGAACAGAAACTAAATTGCAGGTGATTAAGTCCATGGTAAGTAAGACATTTAGTTTTGTTGTAAATTTATCTAAATTTAGCAGTAAAGGAAGGTGAGAGAAATGGGGAATTTGGGATTATACAAGGTCTTTTTGTTTGTTTTTAAAGATCAAAGAGAATTATTATTTATTTATTTATATTTTTAAAAATAACACATTAGGACTTTAGAGGTGTTGAGCATATCGCTACATGTTGTTTTGTCTTTTTGAGACAGGGTCTTGCTATGCAGTTCAGGCTGGCCTTGAGCTCACTTTGTACAAAAGGTACAAAGATCCTCCTGCCTCAGTCTCTCAAGTGCTGGGATTACAGGCATGCCCCACCATGCCCGGCGGCACTACATTTTGTTAATAAACATGCTTTCAGTGAATATATTTCTTAATAATTTTTTCTAGGTATTGGTGGATAATACTTTAAAATATTTTAAATTGTTGCTAAGATTTTCTGTGATTCATCAAGTATGAAAATATATCTGTTAATTACCGTGGATATAGGTTTCTGTTTCATACTCAAATGCTATTTTCATTTTTCAGATCTTTCCAGAAATCGTTTTACAGAAATTCCTTCTGACGTCTGGTTATTTGCACCTCTTGAAACATTAAATTTATATCATAATTGCATCAAAGCCATTCCTGAAGCCATTAAAAACCTGCAGATGTTAACATACCTTAACATTAGGTAAGGAAACAATTCTTAAAATACATTTTGGGTTTTATTATGATTCTGATCCTTTTTAGTAGCAAAAGAATGTATTTGGGTTGCCTTTGTAGCCTGTATTTATCTTAAAATCTTACTGTTTTCTTTGTGTTTACATTATCTTGTAGGGTTTTGTTCTTCTTGAGAGCAGTGCTTCTCAAACTTTAATGCACAGGTATTACCAGGGGGAGCTTCTTGTTAAAAGTACATTCTGGGAGTGCTGGGGATTTAGCTCAGTGGCACAGTGCCTGCCTGGCAAGCACAAGGTCATGAGTTCGATTCCTGGTACCGGAAA